CCCCAAAACCCCAAAACCCCAAAACCCCAAAACCCCAATAATTTTTTTTATAATTGAAAATGGATAAGATTGAAGGTATAGAGAATTTAAAATACTTTATTTGAGAAGGAAAGTGAGGGGATTAAAAGAAATGAGAAGGGTTTAGAATTGATTTTTTAGGTAAGAAGTGCAAGAAAGAGTTAGAAGAAGAGAAAGAAGACTTGAGAAAGTGGAAAATAGAGAAAAGATGCAAAGATACCGAAATACATTAAATATCGTTCATACAAGATTCTTTAAAATCTATTAAAAATTTATACTTGATTCCTGGATTAGTTCGCAATAAATTTCTTATTTTCAATATATTTAATATTAAAGCATTTAATTAGGATTTTTATCTTTATCAAATTAAGACATATTGTTTTAGTTGTCATAGTCATTTTTTAGAAATAAAAATTTATGGCTAAAAATACTCCAAATATAAGAATTTGAAATTGTAGACTAGAAGTCAAACGCAAACCCCATGATCAACAGTTTGGTCAACTCAAGGAAGAAGTAAAACAACTAAAGGAGCAAGTCAAAGTACTTTCGAAGAAAAAATAATGAACTCAAAGAAGTGATATCAGCCTTCAGCATGGAGAAAATGCAGTCTAGTTGTGTAATATAGCAATAACTATTCTATAGAATGACCCCAATTGCTTCAAAAGTGATAAAAATCAGCATTTGAGAGAATTTGAAACTCAAAAGATCCCCTGAAAAATACTAGAAGTATGACTACTCATCAAACGGAAAGTAAGAGTGTTAGTTAATTTTAACCTAGAAGTGTATAAATCAGAGAAACTGTTTAAGAGAAAATACAGCTTCTGGAAGAATACTTTGCCTACCATAATCAAAAAGAACCCTGAAATTATTAAATACACCTTCATGAAACAGAACAAAGATATCACTGATACAAATGCTAAGCCAGACTTTCGTTCTTAAAAACCCAGTTTAAAAACATAGGTTCGTCTTCATAATTTTCTTTAAAATAATATTCAAACTAGAAATATTAAATGGTAAATCTCTGAATACTACAAATAGTTTTAATAGCTCCCTAAACTTTGCAAATAGATGAGTAAAGCATTTTATATTAACAAACTCACTGTCTATATAGTCCAGAATGCATTGCCATTTGGGTCACTTGCAACTCTATATAACTTCGATTCATTCGAGCTTTCAGAATGGTTTAAATTCAAAGCAGAGTTATCAAAGGCTAAACCTGATTTTCTGGGATTAAGATCCCAGCAGGCTTTTTTAACGAGAACTTTTTAAAACAAGGCATGGAGTTCTTTAAAGATCATGGAAGTAACTTTATCAATATCTTACGAGAAGTCAGAAATCAAGTGCAAGCTTTAGTAAGTTTTAATGTCAACCTCATATAAATTGTAAGATAAAAAATTAAGTTAGAAAAAAATCTTGATAAATTAGTTTTAGACTAAGACTTGGGGTAGTACTACATTCCCTAAAATTTCTATAAAAATATCTCGTCTAATTAAGGCCTTTTGGAAAGAAGTCTCTTTTATTTGTCAAAAATTAAACAGATTATTGAGTAATTCAGGCTATATTTTACTAACAAAAGACCAAATTCACTAAAGCCAGCCATTAATGCTGAAATTCATTGCATTATTGTTTATAATTTAAGCATATATAATAGTCAACTCTAATAGTTAAATACTCTCACAAATATCAGAATTTAATTTGACTGCTATAAAAACTTAGAGATTTTGGAAGAAATTATGTGTTCAGTATCCGATATCCTTCATTTTTAAATATGAGAGAATAAAACTTTTTTTAAAGCTCGAAGATTTAGCTCTAATGATCCGTTCCTCAATTGAAGGTAGTTTTAGATTTTAAGCAGTATGTCTACTTTAGATGAGCAATATAGTGGTAGACTCCACCAATAAGAACATTACATACCAATAAACACTATTTAGTTTGATAAATTTATGGAAAAGCATTTGAAAACTGATCAAAGTTTGTTGATTTAGTTGAGGTTTTCCAGAATAAATTCTTCAGCTACTTTTGTTAATAGAAGTAATTCATTTGATGAGTCTTTTGTTGAAGAAGTAATTGTGATCAAAAACTTAATCGATAGTGGATAATTATTTTAGGTAAAAGTGAGAAACAGGATGTTTGTGCTATTTAATAAACTAGATGAACTTTATGCACAATCAGAATATAGGTAACACACTTTTAGTCGAACCAACAGGAATAAAGCTTAAATTTTTTATAAGTATATCCTTTTAATTCAAAAAGTAAATATTTGCTTAGATATGACAAGAACGATTATTGTTCATCAAGAGAGAAATGGGGAAAAGTATAAAAAGAACGGTGTTGACTTATTGAGTAAGACTCTATTATTTTGATCCATTGAGCGTTCTGCTTACAATAGCAAAGTTTAGTTACCACAACACTTCATATTCATTGTTTCTTTAGCAATATGGAAAATAAAAAAGAAAGATCCTGACACAGATTACTGATCTGAGATTGAGATGAGTGAGTTAGAAGATGAAGATGACTCATTAATTCTTATCGCTTAATCTCAATTAGGTCATAATTGCCTTGTCAAAACTAGGTGCTTTATTCAGAAAATTATAAAATCCCTCAGCTTGTGTATTAAAATCTTGTGCTCTTTGAATATTATGGTGGATAAGTCCTCTCTAAATTCCTTTAACCCATTTCAATTGATATTATTTATCGAGGGGTTTTGGGGTTTTGGGGTTTTGGGGTTTTGGGG